CTTGTAGGAAATTTTGAAAATGCCATTTGCTGCATTTTAAGACACTTAAAGTAAAATTTGTTGTCATTGTCAAGCTATCTTGAAGTATGTTTTCAAAATTGCAGTGCCATAATTATAGAATACATCGAGGCCACTTGCGATAATGCATTTTTTTACCCACATATTTGTCTACATCATGTCTACTTTTAATTTACATTTCCTTAGAAAGTTAAGGTGCATCTCCATCTTGGCCATCCTGCTCCAGTAGGGGTGAACTGACTGAGGATAATGCTATTATTAGTATAATTCTAGTCCATTGTTGGTTCCCCCTCCCAATTTTAGTCCAGAAGTTTTTGTCACATTGTCTTAGTACCCATTCATTGTTGAGTTGCTAAGAGAGAGATGGTTGTCCCTAAGAACACAATGCAACAACCTAACTATGACTTAAGCATGGATTGATTCAAAACCTACATGACCTAGCAGGAAGTGGTAAATGAGGCTCACAGATTTTCATTAATTTTGGTGTGTCGTTATTTTGAATTGCATAGGTGCCTCTCCGCGTGGCAAGAAAAGGAATTCATCCGTTCAAGATCTGTGTGACTCTCCCTCAAAAAAGCCCAAAATAGACTGTGCAAAGGCCCCAAAGCAGAAGGGTGCTCAAATCATAGGTGATGACAAAAGCGGCCCTTTCCAAGAACAAGGTAAAACAGCTGCACTGTCAAAACGAGCATCAAAGGGTGGTAAACATAAAAATGAAATTACATCGCAGTCTGGTTCATCAGACCTACAAGAAGTTCGCAGTGCGGCTAAAGCAACAAAAGATAAAGGCAAACAGAGGAAGGCAAGTCCTTTGACACAAAATCATGTAGCTACTCCAGAGGATCTCCAAAAGTCACCAAGGAAGGACAAGGTTGTGGGGAAAAAGTTAAAACTGGACCTAGAAGGAGAAGAGAAAACGAAGGATGAATTAAAGGCTGGAGAGAAGAGTTCATCTGAAGAGTCTAGTGATGATGAGGGTGTGGAATGGGAAGATGTTGATGGTAAGAGGAGTATACAGTTACAGACTTGTTTGATTGAAATAAGATAAATTATTTGATTTTTCGAAACTCCCGATTCTTCAAACCAAAAGTCACTTATGCCTTCTAATTTTACCCTCAATTTCTCAAAGTACTAGATTTTTCAAACCAATTCTTGTTTCCCTTGGAAGTTCAAAAAAATTAATGATTTATTCATTTAGTTGCTTTACAATGTAACCTTCACACACATTGAACCGTGAAACTGTCCTGTCAACATACATTATGGGGCCTGTTAGAATGGTAAAATAATAAATTATTATGACATACACTGTTACACTGATAAATGTATTTCTTTTTTTTCTTTTTTTTTTCAAATAGAGGCAAAAGTTGTTGACCATGTGATGGATGATCACACAGCCTCCACATCACAACACCATCACTCACCCAGCAAAAAGAATGTTGAGATTAGCATCACAGTACCTGGAGCAAAAAAGAGGAAGAAAGGATGGTAATATAGCATCTTGATGAAAATAATTCTTGAAGACTTTTCTTGCAAAACTGGCATTTGCAAAGTTAGCATGCAAAGTCAAGCATGCTATTGTTAAATTTTCTGAATTGAATTTTCACCCAGTTTTGGAGGCTGACCATTTTCACTGGCACTCAAACTGGGGATTGTGCTGCTCCAGAAAATGTCTGTCCTATATTTATACCCCTCTTGGGAAGTGTTCTTTGATTTGGAACTGCCAACCCCTTGCACCCCCCTCCCTGGAAATTCCAGCTTTGGTTCATGCTTTCCTTTAAAAAATTTGGCTTCTTTTACCCCCTCTCTCTAGAATTTCCAGTAACCCTCCTTGGGGTGGGTATGGGTATTTTCTGGAACCACACAATATTATAAAGGCCACTTTGGTGCTCTTTCCATCCCTTGAATAAAAGCTCATACTGCAATTTTTTGTGCTGGCAATTGCAAATAAGGTTTACATGTATGTGCAAATAACACGTGTACCTCTACAGTGTTAAGAGCATGCAGTACAAGACAAAACTGTTATATAGAGTAATAAATTAATTGTTTGTTGTTAATGTTTTATAGAAAGAAACGTACTAAGAATTTCTACTAATAATAATAATCATCTCCGTTTGTGTCATTGTTTTTTTTTCCAGGAGTCAGGAAGATGTTATGAAATATATTAAACGAGCAATCAATAGATTTAGAAAAGATGTTTCTATCAAAGTTCATAAGGTACTTGGCAAAATTTTACAGCCTTTAGATTAATTGCTGACTGTTCCAAATGTATGCACATGCACATGTATGTTGTCTTCTTCTAATCACTAATG